CATCCATAAAAAAAAAAACCGTCTCACACGGCTCCGGGGGGTGAACAAAGGCCTCCTGTAGCGAATCGATGCGTTTTTGTAAGAAAAATATCCATATTCAAAACGTAATAATCACTTTAATCTAGCTTGCGCCAACAGTTGTACACGGAAGCAGCTCCGGGAGCATGACGTATGAGTTCAGCATTGCTCGTGAAAACCAACGTTTGTTTACAGGATCAAAGGAAGCAAAGTTTCCTTACTTTAGCAAAGGAAAAACAGTCTCCTCTTGGCTTATATCGAAATCCTCTGACATTCTTCTTTACAAATCCTCATTTTGTACTTCTAATTAGTGACGTTGTTTTGTTTTGATCTCTCCGCTGCGTTTCCGCGTGCGTCACTTCTGAGCGGTGCATGCGCAACGCCAACCTCATACGTCATCAGCCCGGAGCTGCTTCCGTTTACAACAGTGAGCGCAAGCTAGATTAAAGTGATTATTACGTTTTGAATATGGATATTTTTCTTACAAAAACGCATCGATTTGCTACAGGAGGCCTTTGTTCACTCGCTTTTTATTTCACTTCTTTTGGACTGAAGCACTGCAACACCCGCTGACTGCAATGATAGAGCTTGGAATAGCCAGGACAATTTTTAATCTAACTCCGACTGGATTAGTCTGAAAGAAGAAAGTCATATACATCTAGGATGCCTTGGGGGTGAGTAAAACACAGCCTACTTTTCGTTTTTGGGTGAACTAACCCTTTAAGCTGTCAAAATGTAATCTACTTTAAAGGAAAAAATTAGCATTTCAAGTAATGCTCAATTAAACACTGATTCACATTTGTTATTTTGCATGTACTTCAAAAGTAATTTCAAAATGGCTGTTGTTTGCATGGCTTGAATGCATGTGACAAACACGTTTATGCAAAACACAAAATTACACAAACGCTTGGTATATTTTTGCTCTGCAGAACACTAATACATGCTTACAGCATGTATCATGAACGCGAACAATAACCTGACATAAGCATCCACCCATTACGATGTCAAAGTCAACCTGACACATTGCAGGGGCATTACAACCAGATGTTCCCATAATAATTTATTATTAAAGAGTCGCACAAAATAAAAAATACCATGCAAATTTGTGAGGGAATAAGACAAAGGCGCGGGATTCAAGCTTATAAATGTATAATTACAACGTCGTGGCATTTGTGTAATTGCTTGTGCCGACTGATTGAAAGTAAGTTACACATTTTAGGCCGGCGAAAAACAAAGATGATAAAAATAAAAAGATAAAGAAACTTGACGTAAAAGTGCGTTGTAAAAACGCGCAAAAGCTCGTCGATTTTATTGGAAATCACTAAAGCAACTAGTCAAGGTAGCTTCGCTAGTTCGCCACGCATCATGCACTTTTCTGCTGTCTTTCTTGAATCTGGCGGCGTTTTTGCACACAATAAATCTTTTGCTTTTTTTTTTCCTTACGAGAGAACGTTTTAATCCACGACGCCCGGGAACGGAGAGCGTGCGATACAAACACAGAACAGGTTGCCAATAGCGGGTATATCGGCATGCAGGGCGCGTTTCGGTGTTTCCAGCGGTGGTGATGAAGAACATACAAAGGCAGGAGGGTAAAAATGCCACAGCTTCGGCGTGCGCGAGCCAGTGGCCATCTTGTTTGTAGCTGA